ATAATAAAGAACGCATTTAAATTTGTAAGTTAAATTCTTTTTTGACATCCTTTATTCAAACTTTCAGGACAGGCAATACTATTTGATTACCTGGCAAGATGAAAGGCGAATAAGACGTAATTTTAAAATAAGCTCCGAGCTCACTGCTAGCTGAATACAAGAGTTTGAGTACATTATATTAAAACGATTCTGGAGCCTAACCATGTCGTTACAGTCTATGTCGCCACGTTCTATCATGCTCCATCTGACGACCGTGCATATTGACAATAGCCATGCAGCGCAGTTTCCATTACAAAAGTCTCCTTTGTAAGGCTGTCACATTCAAAATACACCCTTTTTCCCTGCAAGTTTCCATAATCGACCTAGTTAGTGTACAAGGAGAAAGGTTTCTCAGCGCACGTTTCAACAGTCTGATCCCGCTGCGTGCAGCCACTTGGATGAGAACATCTCATATGGAATAGCATGAATACTCGTTTCATCATCTAACTGCTTAAGGTATGTGACGGTTGAACTAATATGGCGTGGAAGCAACTTGTATACATGTAACTTGTTTCGCTTTTCCAGACAAAGGTCTTTCTTGACTATGTTTTGTACTATTTCCTGGAGCGTCCGGATGGCTTTTGCCATTGACCTATGTGCTCGTAGATTCTCACCTGTTACAAAACAATGAACTATGCTTACCACAGTTGGGGTACGATTTGTTCATGTCTCTTTCTGGATGATCCTGGTTCCAAAAATGGATCTGTATTTGTTTTTGTTTTCTTCAATGTCATTAAGAATAAGGGATATCACCATCTGTATGATCCGAGTGTATGAATATTTTGCGTCGGAAAGAGCTGTTAGATACCCTTCGTAAAAATGATCAGTTTTCGGTGGCATCACATTACTCCTACAATATCAAAATCCAGTTCACGTACATGCCTTTCCACCGCGACTTCATATCGCCTGTAGTTGTCACGCGACTTGCTGATTTGCATAATCGAAATCATTTTAATATAACGTTCTTAACCCCGTACGAGCCACTTGTCTGTGCGATTCGCTTTGCTAATTGTATTAGTGACAACAGTAATGAGAAAGTGAAATCAAGTGCAAGTTCCGAAGCTACGCTGATTATAGATAAGCGTCTCGTTTTGAAAATTATCCTAGTGGTGTAGCCATTATCTAGCATTTATCTGGTAATTTTCGGTAAATATAATTTTACCGTAATGGTATTTGAAGCATGAAACCGTGCACATGAAGCCGATGAAATAAATAGCGCGTCACCCTCTTTTATATACCAGCTACCCTATATCTAGTAAATGCTAGAGCATTCGCCAAAGTACAGGATAGTTCTAAAAAGTAGAGGGCGTGAGAATAGTCACGTGATCTCGATGACGCAACAGTTAGTTGTAGGATTGCATTTTGTTTTAGAAATTGTCTGATTCTGTAGCCATTGTCCCGCAATTGTCTGGAAATGTTCTACAAACCCACTATTCTTACATCTAATACTTGAATTAGAAGGTCTTGCATGTAACATCTCAGTGAAGCAAAAGCTTCCATTGAAGCTGGACGTGCAGACCGGAAATTTATAAGACGGTATAAATATATATAAATCATGAGTCACAGAAATATCGACTGTTAAAAAGTTAACAATTAATAATCCCCATACCTTTTTTTTTTCGTCACTCATGTTTTGAAAGCCTGCTTAGAGCCTTTAAAACGACTAGCAAACGTACCCGTACGAGGCAACGTGACGGTAATGTAATGTGTGTGTAGATAGTGAGTAATTGAACTGCAGTCAGAAGTATTGTTGACGTTCGTTGATATAGCGTTTGTTATAGAGCGATTGTTGAAAATAAGTGTATCGTAAAGTTGTATTCGGAAAGAATAAACCAGTTTTATTAAG